CTTTTCGCCAAGTTTCCCGAACTGCGTCCTCACTATAACCATTAGGCCCAATATGGTTGTCATAATATTGTTCTGCTATTCCCCATATATATTCGATGGGATTAAACTGGTAATGATACGGTGGCAGACGTAAAACTTGATGACCGTAACTTTCAATAATCTAAAGGTTTTTGGTTTTGCGTGTATATTTGCCAAGCGCAATAATTCTGATTTTTATATATATTGAGGAAATGGTATATGTTCCTTTGTCAACCATTCTTTAATTTTATCAACAGTCCAAGAATTCGTTGGACTTTTGTTTAATACTTCAGAATGGTAAGGTGCATTGTTTAAAATAATTACGCTGGGCTCACTTAAACCTGGGAGAAGTTTTTCATGCAACTATTTTAAAAATATTTTTGTGTTCATATTATGTAACAACCAGGAGTTTAAAGACCATTTGTAACTACTGATAGGTCTTTAGCGACTGTTGTTAATATACTATTAAGGGATTAGGGCAGCGTCGTCACCAGCCAAAGGGTCCTGGAGTCATGAAGGAACATCCATTCACCAGTGGCAAATAAAAATATAAAAAAATTAAATTAAAAGAATAAAAAAAACATCCCTTAAGAGCATAGTCGAGCGGTTTCTTGGCAACTAGTTTTAGACTCTTTTAGTCCTAAGGGAATAGAAACGCTGAGGCTTCTCAAATGCTCGGAATATTTTGCTGGTTTGGAAAGGGATGAGAGATTAATAATAAGTATTAAAACATTAACAAATGTATATTAATAAAAATATAAAATTTGACAAAATAAAAAAAAAATGAATAAAATTCCATTTAGGGAATAAAGCACTATAACTAATAGTAATATAAAGATATGCATAAGATAAATATAATTCGGGACGAAAATGTAAAATTGGCATTTATAAGTAAATCAATCAATCAATTATTATTAAACAAAACACTCTAAAATTAAGTTAAAATATTTACCCATAATTCACATCGTACACATCACATAAAAAGACGAGAACTTTCGCCTTTGGGCGAAAGTTCTGGACCTTAGTCCGAACGACTGCGTGATAGTCACTGGATTTTGATTTAGTTGAAAATATTAAATCAGCACCTTCTATAAAACCAAATTTCCCTCCTGCATGTAAAATTATGTGTCGCTTCCCTTCTCCATCGGTATGTTTGATGCACTTTACGTTATCATCTTGCGTCTAAAATAATTACGCTGGGCTCACTTAAACCTGGGAGAAGTTTTTCATGCAACCATTTTACAAACATTTCTGTGTTCATATTATCGTGATAGTCACTGGATTTTGATTTAGTTGAAAATAATAAATCAGCACCTTCTATAAAACCCGATTTCCCTCCTGCATGTAAAATTATGTGTCGCTTTCCTTCTCCATCGGTATGTTTGATGGACTTTATGTTATCATCTTGCCATATTCTCTTGGTTGCATCCCTAGAAAATATCCTGGTTTCATCTAAATATATAAAATTCACCCCTTCTTCTTTAAATTTAGAATATTTTCTTAGAAAGTTAATTCTCTTGTGCACGACAGAACTTCTTTCACAAAGGGTCTTTCTGTTATCCTCCTTTTGAAATTTGAAACCCAAGTTATGTATCACTTGCCATAGACTTGTTCTGCCAATATCGTCAAATTTTCTATCTATTAATTCCGAGAGAATTGTATTTAAGGTCACATGTTCCTTGTTGGCCCTCATTCGATAAATGGTATCACGAATTTCAAATTTCTTTCCATCTGGAATATCTTTCGTTTTCAATGATGGTCGAGTTTTGCAGTGATCTTCTTTCGGCAGTTCACTATTGCGATTTTGTAATACTCCTCTTAATTTGGTTTCACTAATTCCTAGAGCATCGCATACGCGTTGTACAGACATTACCGATTTTAAAGGACCGCCATTTTCTTTTTCATCCGTAAAATACTTATGTACACTACAAATTAGACTATCTACATCTAACACACGTCTAGGCATTTTTAAAATTTCCACTAAATTTACAATATACATACAATGTCAACACTTGCAAAGAATCAATTCAACTGCAATATTTAGTACCTACCCTAATGTTATTTTAATTTAAATCTGACCATTAGGGCAATTTTACCTAATTTCTTGGGAAGAGGCTTATTGGAACTGGTTGTCAATGATCAATTTGCATAATTTTGTTAATCCGAAACCCGCGTAAGTATAGCGAACAGACTATACACTGTACGTGACCCTACATGTCCCAAATGTGCCTCCAATCACTATGTAAAAGAATGTACCTCTGCTAGTTTGAAATGTGTAAATTGTGCTAAGCTCAAATCAAACCATAACATAAATATTTTTATTGATCATGTAGCTTGGGATCATGGGATAAAGAATGCCACTTCTATAAGAGAGCACAAACAAAATTTAGAGAAAATATAGTACCGTCCAAATAGCAACCAATTAATTCGTCTTATCATAGAGTTGCTATCTGACAGATAATTAGGTTTCCGTCTTTTTAAGATAAATAATCTGTAGGATAGATAAGGAAAGTATAGGAATCATGTTTTTTTTCGACCTCGAGTTTTCGACGGAGTTTTACGTTTTGAGGTCCCCTGAATCCGTTTTGACTATTTTTGCGATGATGTCTCTGTGTGTGTGTATGTGTGTGTATGTGTGTGTGTGAGTGTGTGTGTATGTGTGTGAGTGTGTGTGTGTGGGTGCGTTCGTGCGTGCGTGAGTGCGTAAAATGGTCCTTATTCGAGATATTTGAGAAAATGTGTAAATTTCGAATTTTGAAGAAAACTCAAAAACGGATAAAGAAAAAACATTAAATTTAAACTTAAGTTTTATTTCGGCCTGACGTGAAATGATTAGATTTTGGACAAAGTCGGAACATCTGGGGGATACTTTATGGGGGGCCGTTTTTATATTTTATCTGTTATTTATGTTTGGAGAACAAAATTGTTCAAATTGTCAAAATTTCCTGAAATGGTCCGTATTCGAGAAATTTGATAACTGAAAGTTGTTTGCGATATCGATATCTATAATTTTTGTTTATACTCGATTTTTCTAAAATGGACCGTAATGGAAAAATTGTAGGAAAAGTGCTAAATTTAAATTTTTCAGTATTTTCGTTTTCAATGAATATCTATAAAAAATTTTTCGAGGTAGATGTTAGTTTATCCTCTAAACATTAATAGAGGTGCTGCAATAGGTTGTACAAAATAACCGGAAAAAGCCTACAATAACTAGATAGGAAAGTCATGTGTTGGACACATCAGATTTTTAACGTTCTGTGGTCATGTAACTACCTTCATATCATGGAGGTAAAAGGTGATATGTGATATTAAACAATGAGAAATAAAAATTTCATTCAACGATGACAGTGGCGTAACAAGGGCGGACGAGGGGACGGGATAGCTTGACATACCGGAGATTTGCTGTGAGATATTATTAAAATTTCTATAATTACTCAAAATGTTGTTTTTTCACCTAATATACTCAAGTATGTCTTGAAATTTAATTCATTTCGGATTGAATATCGTATGCTCATCTTCAAAATCCGGAAAGATTCCCTAAATTAAAAACATTTGAAACGTCTATTCTCTTTTGTTATCATTTCGTAGCCTTTATTATTAACATGAACATAGGAGGCCTCCTCCCCCTCTAGTATCTCCAAACTCTTACCTCACTGACAGAACAATCACAGTCAAAGTAGGCAACGCTCTGTCAGACCCATTCACTCCTTTTGCTGGGGTACCACAGGGCCCCGTCCTGGCTCCAACTCTTATACCTCATATACGCCCACAACATCCCACCTCCAAACCACCCAGTGTCAAAATGCCTTCTCTACGCCAACGATACTGCTCTGCTCTGTTGCCAAAAATTCTGACCAAGTACTCAAACCCAAAATCTGTTGAACCAGTATTCTCGCTGATATAGCAGACGAAGGGTCCGACTCAATCCAAACAAAAAACCACAATTTATCATCTTTAAACATCCGAACTCAAAAAGAATCACCCAGGTACACCCTACACGTAAAAGTAAATCTCCTGGTGGTCAGACTCGCTCAAAAGACGGGTTATACGATTTTTTCGTACACTCAACTGATCCTCTGATGTCCAACGCTCTCTCTACAAGATGTAAAAGCTAGCCAGTCTTCTTGGGACTTTGTGTAAATCAGTTGGACGATGCCACCCAAGCACTTTAATTCACAAATACAATTTTTTATATCCGCGCCGTTGCCGAGTATAGAGCAGTACCTTACGACACCTTTCTACACTTCTTGTCCACAAATTGACCATACTCGAGAGACGTATACTGCCCCAATATCTTCGCTTTCGCTCTCCAAGCGGAGAAGTTTTTGAAAACATACCCAGCACCCCTATTCTCACACGTTTCCAGGAAACAATACGTATCTCGCCCTCTGAAAGGCTCAAATACACACTCCCAAAACACTTTTCAAACCCCCTGGCGCCCACGCCACCTTCCACTATTTCTAAAACCAAAAAGAAAACTCCCACAACCTAACTTAAGATTACTCTTAGACTCCCAAGATCTCCCGCTGAACTTCAGAATCTGCTGGACTCAGCCTCACTATCTATTAGATAAACCTTTCCCAATATAATTAACGTACAATATCGTGATTTACGTTTTCGTGGTTTTCCTAAATAACATTTCTCATCTTATATGAGGTTGGAAATAGCAAAATTGGCCATATTATTTTGGGAACACAACCTGTCCACACAGGTCCCACGCGCCATCACTTAGGAAACAGCTAGTAGCTAGGGTACTATTGTAATCAGGGCAAACCACCCTGAAAAGGATGATAAATCCTATAGCAGGGTATTAGGAAATGTAAAAAACTTATGAAAAAGTCATTAAACTAAAAAAAAGCATTTATAAAAAAATAAAATTACATATCAGTGTAAATTCTGTGGCGACTTAAGTAATTTCCTAGATCTTTCTGTTGGTTTGCGTCTGTTCCTGGAGAGAGAACATTACTGTTGTGTTGTGGGCATTACTCATTTGAAGATGATGCATCTGTCTGTAATAGAGTCGAGGAGGGGATAGTATTTGCAACACCGGAATTACTTAACTCGAATGAATATAGTTCATATTGTCTGCAGTCTGCCTGAGTATTGTGCTGTTTCACGTTTTCTTCTCGGGCCTCCATTACAGAATTGAAGATCTGTCGTTGGACCTTTATTTGTAAATATTCTGGCAGAGTACTAGTTTGATCATGCATGCTATCGAAAAACTTTTTGAGCGCCGTATCTTCCTTTGGCTTCATACTTAATAACTCTTGCCTAAATAAATCTCTCGCTGTTGACTTTTGATCCCTTTCTTTTTGTTTCCGTTCCAGATATTCAATAATATTATCACTTTTTCTTTTATTTCGCGATGTATTACAAGTTGTTTGCTGCTCTTCCATTGTACCCAATTCGGAATCTTCTGCCTGTGTATTTTCAATCGTTTCATCAATCCCTATTTTCGAATCTTGTACAGCGATAGCGATGGCGTTCCTTTGTCTATTTGTCAGATGTGGAAGGAGAAAACTCATTTGCTTTTCATATTTCCAAAGTCTAATATCACCTGCTGCTTGACCTACTGTTATTTTTCTTTTGTTTAAAGCTTGTCTGTGGCCATCTCGTAGTTTCTTCCACAAAATTTTGGCTTCTTTGACTAAAATAAAAAAAAAGATTTTTTTGTAGATACCTAACTACTGGAGATGCTTATGTGGCTTATAGGATGGGTGAAAGAACGGTCACAAGAATAAATAATAACCAGAAGGATATCTCTCATTTAATTCCTTTGTAGTCAATGCCGACGAGCTGTGACCTCGTCTTTTAGTTATTACTTGTATTCCATAGGCGCACCGAAAAAGGGCAGGAAAATAAAAAAAATATTGGGTAGCTATTGATTTGTTTTTTAAGTTCATACATTACAAATATAGGTAAGTAAAAGATTTATATATATAAAAAAATATTTACTTTATGTTTCCAAATGACAACCATTTTGTCTTTTATAGTTTTAAAATTTTGGTTAATACATTTAAGAGTATAAATTAATCTACCGAATAATTTTATTAAATAATTATGTGGAAATTTTTCACATGGATGTGAAAAACTTGTATTTCTACAAATACTTTGAAACGTATCTATTACATTTTTGTGTATAATAATAGTTTCAAAATTTATTTGAAATATTACCTCTAAAAAGGAGATAAATTTTACAAAATCATTGTGTGGCATGTTTAAGTTACCAAATAAATCTAAACCGGAGCTATTATAAGCTTTATAGTAACAAAATAAAGATGTATCGTTCAATTTTGAGTGGAACAGCATATTTTCGCAGTATTTGTCTCTTTCCTTTTTGGAACATCCGTAGAGAAAAATGAACATCACAAATTCTATAGCTCTTGTGAAGAAAGTCTACTTTGTATAATAAATCTGGTCTATAACACGCTAAGAACCAAGATTTCGCTCTGAAAAAAGATTTACACTTAGTTTTCATTTTATTTGACCTGATAGCTTCAGACTTCCATTGTCTGGGATAGAGTATACATTTTGGGATAACTAATAAAGCTCGGGAGATCACTTAAAAAACAAAATATGGATGCAAATATGCACAAAAACAGTCAAAATATGTACTAAAAACATATATTTTTGAATTTAAATGTAAATTAAATAAGTAAAGTTAGACATTAAATTAACTAAAATTAACTACACTTTGAGATCGAAACCGGACATTTGGGCGCGATAATTATAATTTTTCAATTTTTTCTAATTGGTATATTCATTAAAAATTTTAGTCTTAAGAGTTTAACTACAATAAAGTTTAATAAAAAAAAAGATTGTTATTTTTATTGATTTAATAGAATAAACATTAAGGTATGTATGAATAATAAGGGTATAATTAGAGTAATTCCAGAAAGATAGAGATTAAATATAGAAATGCCGAAAATTACCTAAAGTGTATCATAATAAGCAACTATCAGAGACAATTCAGTTTTGATAGGTCATTAATACCTGGCATTGGTTTTAAATTCTGAAAATTACCTAAAATGTATCATAACAAGAAAATATTAGAGATAATTTAGTTTTGTAGGTCAAAAAGAAACATTTTGATTCTTAAAAAAAAGTGTTTTTATATATTACTTGCGCTCAAACCATTTTTAAATAAATACTGTTAAATCGACTACTTTTAATTGCGTCGTTGTTCTTGCTAACCAGTATGTAAACATTATTTTCAACTCATGTACTATCATTTGTTAATTAAATGTTAATGTTCAGTTTCATAATGATATTCATTATAGCACTGGTTTTTCATTATGAAACTGAAAAATTGTGATCAACAGGAACCTATATTTTGTAATAATCATGTAAGCATCCAGTTATTTTCCCCAAATAGTTTTCGACAGTTTCTGGAAGATTTATGTTCTGTATCAGTTTAGATTTTCGATTTTGAAATATCTAGGTATTTTAAATTTAAAAAAAGATGTATAGCAACGATAATGTTTCATGTACACTACTCGAAATTGAAGGTATAAAATGTATAGTCAACATTTAGACTGGAAGCTAACAAAGGAAGTATCATCCTTTTCTAAAAATGTGTTGCTTTGAACAACTTTCAACCAAATTGAAATACTCGTTACTCCATTTTAAAAACACAACTAAATATTAAACATAAAACTGATATATGAGAGAATACCCAAAATTGCTATCATATAAAAAGAGAAAGTCTAAAGGTTATAGCGGAAAAAATCCGAAACACTTTTGGGAAATAAAAAAAGATTTATTATTTAGTTCTCTTAACAAGTCATAACAAATTAGATTATCTAAGGTTTTGAGGGATTAACAGCATTATAATTTTTTAAATTAATCTAATTTCGATTGAAGAAGTGGTTCTTGGTCATAGAAAAAATAGGGTATGCAACTCTTATGTAATGGCTATTAATACATGATCGTTGCATAATATACTATTATTAAGATATACCCTAAGTACTGTGGGGCAACCCACCCTCCCTCAGATTAAAGATACAGAAAATATCCCTAAGTAACAGCTAATTTAAAACACCCTGTATTTGACATATATTATACTTTTTTTATATTATCTTTCAACATCTTGAGGAAATATGTAAAATGAATGTGCACCGATATAACATTTATTTTTCCAGTCTTTATAACTACAAACAAAACCAGCTTTTTTTTGTCCGCTTCCATAACTCACACTGTCATTAAAGCACAACAAAATCAGAAAACAGTCAACGATAAAAATATTCAAGCAAAATAACAGAAACAACAGAATAATAATAATTAACAATTCACGATGTCGATACCACCGGCCGTGCCGGTTGCTACTGCACTGAAAGTTTCGGTGTAGAATATCGGTGTAGGTGAGCTTGAAGGTCACGAGCCCTCGAATATCACGTGATCGGAGGTATCCTTCTGGTTATAGGATGGGTGAAAGAACAGTTTCGGAAAATGAAGAACAAGGTTGTGATACATTTTCAATACCAGGTACAAGCGATTAAAAAAAAATTATTTTAGTCAACTGTCGCGTAGGTGCAATTGATGACAAACATGTTACTATAAAAATACCTCCTAAATGGAAATTGTTATATATAAACGTAGGATCTATGGGAAGATTTAGTGACAGTGGGATTTAAATTTTTACCCGTTTTTTTTGTTCTTTTTTACGCTGATTCGTACCTAATACAAATTTTCTTTACTAAAATGACTAGGGTTGCCACCTTGAAAAGGACAGTCCTTTTTTTCAAACAAATTGTCCTTGTGACTTTTTAAACCTTAAAATATCCTTTTTAAAAACAATGTTTCGATATTTTTGATGATTGACTTATTTGCTGCAGCACCGGCGTAGCCCACACGCTCCCGCAAATGAAACTCAGTCCCAGTCAGTACTGTGTTTTTGCGAACCCACTTCATCATATTATATATGTACAGATGTAGAAAAAAGTTTGGTTATGTATGTTCAATTTTTCAAACAAACCAAACAAATTTATGCGGCTAAAACCAACATCTAAACTATTTTGGTTATTTTGCGGTTTTAATGTTATTAGTTGAGGTGATGTAGAATTAGAGATTGAAAATTAAAACCACATTTAAGAACATTAAAAAAATGGGAAGTTGTTTTAATCTGCTGTACAAATACTTCAAATGTTTTTTCGTTAATTTCATTTTTATTAAGTATACCTGCTAGTTCAGCATTTTCTGAGCGAATTTTAATTTTTGAGAGAATTGTCAAGAATTTTATGATTTTATAAAAAACAACAAGGCTGCTTTGGAGGCTGCAAAATCAAACCGAAAATACTATTTTAAATTCACTTGAATAAGGATAATTTCCTGACCGTAGCAGAATTTTATATAAATAAAAATTTTTCTTGGTTTTATCGGTCAAATGTTTTTATGTTTATTGTTTAGCACACTACATATGTTTCGGAAAGTACAAATTTTTCCATCTTCAGGTGCAGTCAATTTATAAAAATTATAGGGACGAATACAAACAGTTTAAATTTTTTTAAAATAAAGAACATAAATTCAGTAATCGCTTGCGCGTCTGTTGCATACAGAGGATGCACAAGCGGAACCATACCTTAAAATATTTTTTTAGTTTTTAATATTTTTTTTTAGTTATGTTTATGTTGTTTTTTATTCAATTATTATGTAACTACCTAATTGAGATATTATTGTTCAATAATATGTTAATAAATAGTAATAATTAAAAATTAAAAAAACCGACTTCAAAAACGTGCAGATGCCATCACCACATCTTAACCAAATTTATATGGGACCACCCCTGAGGTACCCTCTTACTAACAAAAAAAGAATCATATAAATCGGACAAGGTGGTAAAGCATTATCGCTAAACATAAAAAATGCAGAGTTAGAGAATTTTCTCATGGACCCAATTATTAGATTTTGACCAAATTTATATGGGACCACCTCTGAAGTAGCCCCTTTCTAACAAAAAAAGAATTATTGAAATCGGAGACCGTGTTAAAGAATTATCGCTGAACATACATAAAAAAAATATCGCGACGAATTGATAACCTCTTTCCTTTTTTTGAAGTCGGTTAAAAAAACTGCCTTCTGTGCATTTTTAGCGGTTAACCATGTCCGCCCTACTCACATTTATACAGAGCCTTTCTTAGTCCCTCTGCCGCCTCTATATTTTAAAAAAGCTAAATTTTTTAAACCAAACTATTTTATGAGGCTAATATAATATTTAACAAGTAAAATCGTTAAATGAAAATAAAAAAAATTATAATAAAACAAACAAAAAAGAAAAACATCAAAATATGTGTATTTTGTTAAAGCATGAACAAAGTTGCAGGTTGCATAACGAAAAAAAAAATCTGATGTGTCCAACACATGACTTTCCTATCTAGTTTTTATAGGCTTTTTCCGATTATTTTGTACAACCTATTGCAGCATCTCTATAAATGTTTAGAGGATAAACTAAATATATTCATTGTCCACAAACAACTTTTAGTTCAACAATTTTCATAAAAATCAGAATTTTGCACATTTTGTCAAATTTCTCGGATACGGACCATTTCAGGAAATTTTAACATAAAACAAAAATTATAGACAATATTATTAGAAGTAACTTTTATTTGAACAATTTTCTTCTCCAAACATAAATAACGGATATATTCCATA